TTTTCCTGTACTACTTCTTATTAAATACTTTCTATCAAGGTTGATAAACTAGAGCCTGCAGGGAGCCTGTATTACTCACCTGGTATCAAACTAGATACAAAGTTATGAATGGTGTTTCTTTTCAGATGTTAAAATTGTTCAATCAGAATCTAAGAATGCCTTTGGCAGCCTCATTTATTCAATACCACACGAGATTGTTGTAAAAATCTTTCATCATATTCCTAATAGATATGGTTGAATTTTGTCTAGAAGAATCAGAAAAGAAGTAGAAAATGGGATGTTCCATTGAGTTTCAAAAGGAACTACTTAATTATTTGACACCAATGCCACCGTGTTTGCCATCCAATTAACATTTAAGAATTATTTGTAGAGGTTTTCTCAATCATCAATCCTGTAAAGTTCATAACATTTCTTGTATTATCAGAGAAGAGTTTTAAAAATGGCCAATAGCCTCTGGTAGCAATGTTTTTCATCATTTGAAATCAGGGTAGTTTGTTGAGGTCTTTCAAAAAATCATTCTTCCCAAGTTGTTTTCTCATTGGCCTATCTATTGGTTCACTATTGTTGAAATTATTCCATATTTGCAAATCTTACAAAAAAAATTTCGGAATGAAGTTTGTGACTTCATTTCATTTGAAAATGTTGGAAAAACATCGGATTAGAGTTATTTCCCTTGACAGAAAAAAAGTTGTCTGATGATTTCTCAAGTAGATTCTGATTTAAATTTTATAAGTTAAAAGATGCATGGTAAACAACAATGTGTCATCCTTATACAGAGGATTCAGTGTCTTCAGGGATCACCACATAATAATTTTCAAAGGTGCATGGAGCATCCAAATAATTATTATAAAAACCATTGAAAATTATTCTTATTAAGAAATGTTTTCCAAAATTATCTCATATTATCTCAAAAATAATTATCAATGCTGAAAAAAAATCCTAAATTGTTATGGAAATACAAAGGAAGTGATAAAAAATTGAAGAGTGGTGGAGGACCACTTACTAATAGCCTCTGGTGATCCTGGAGTCTAGACTAGAGGTGAAAGGTGAAAGATTTTAGAAATAACCAATGATGGATTAAGACCACCATATAGCAATCAAAGAAAATAGTAAATGAAAAAATGCCTTGCTACAAAATTTTTAAACAAGTACTTGAGCAACAGAGAGCTATTGTGAATTGTGAATGGCCCTATATATCTGTTTATTATGACAAATTTTTTTTAAAGACCTCGACTACCAATGAGGGTCTTGCACGGTCGGCTATCTGATAATTAGTGCCCTGCCTAAGATAGAAAGGCCATTATGTTTTCTGGTTTGAGCATCTGTCGGTCCATTATCATGTTAAACTTTTGGTACAAGTTGCTTGTGGTCATATCAACATGAAAATTAGTACAGATGTCCATTATAGTTGAAATGTAAAATATTTATTGCAAAACAAAGTTTTATTTCCAAGCTTTCACAGTTCACTGAAAATGGAAATGTGATAGGTTGAAGTTTTAGTTTGAGGTAGTTTCTGGTCACATCAATGTGAAACTTAGCCCACATGTTTATTATGAAGAAATATTTAATATCCATGTATATGCCAAATTGGGGTTTAAACCTATATTTCATGGTTCACGGAACATTGAAATGAAATAGTGATAACTGGGTATGGAGTTCTTGTTGTAATCTTAGTATGACAAAAACTAAATAAAGTCAGATCTTACATTTTATTAAAATATATACCACAAACTTTATATAAAATAACAATGAAATCTAAGAATATATTTTGGGAGCTACATTTTAATATATTACGGATTACAAATGTGTCGAGTTTTGTGATTGGATAACAACACAGAGATGTAAGGATATATTCGGGAAACTGCAGGGGTATATACGACGTTTGTCACCCTAATTGGAACCTCAACAACGTCATCATAACGAACGTCACGATGTGACGCAGTGTTAAGCTATACAGAACACTTAAAGAACGTCAGAGGCCAACAGAGGAAAATTAATAACGTGTATCCGTCAACAATACGTTTTTCATTTAAAATCATGCGATTTACACATCAAATACTTAATCAATGTCAAAAAGTGTTATTATAAATTATTGCATACACAATAGAATTATTTCCACAGCACATTACAAAATCCTTCACGTATGCGGAAAATATATATACTGCATGGTGAATGTTTAACAAATTTCTGGTACTGGAAAAACCATTAAGGTAGGTGTAATCCGTAATATATGTGTAATTCAGGTTTCAGACAGGGTATATAATGTGACATTCCCGGCTTAGGGTTTATATCCTTTTGCCTTCGGCTCAGGGATTAAAACTCTAAGCCGGGAATGTCACATTATATACCCTGTCTGAGACCTGAATAAGATATAATATTATACCGGTACATATATATAAACATATAAAATAATCACAACAGATATGAAATAAAAGTATGCTTTCATAACTGAAATCAGTGATATGTGACAATCTAAATGGTAAATATCTATAAAAATGTGCCAACAATTGTCATTATTTGCATGTACAATCAAAATCTTGAGTAAATATACAGATTCTTTATACTAAGAACAAGAATAGGTGAGATGTATGAAAATTCCCACTCAACATCTGGGAAAAAGACTAGAAAAAGACATGCATTTCTATATAGACATATTTTCGTAAGAATGAATCGAACTGGAAAATAATTTCAACTCTCTCCTTTCAAACCATCAGATTAAGTGTCGAGATCATTGCAGGTTTAAGTAACTCAACTGTTTACAAAACTTGAATGGTTCGAAATAGCAAGGGTGTTCTACCCCAGGAAAAGGTTAACTTATCTGTTGGTAAAACCTTTTAGAATTTTGAGTCCGAATGCTCTTTAACTTTGTACCTTATTTGGCCTTTTAACTTTTGAATTTTCGATTCGAGCTTCACTAATGAGTCTTTTGTAGACGAAACAAGAGTTTGGCATACAAAATTATAAGCCATGTGTCTTTAATGATTTTTTTTAAAGCAATCTTTGCCTCAGTATTATTCATCATTATTTTACTAATACATGTACCTGTGCTTTTTGTTTCCTTATTGCCAGTATTAGAGTTTGATAGTACTTTTTCTGAACTAATTTTTGTTGTACAACCTTCTATGTATTTTCTGTTGTTTCACTGATTTAGGTTTAAAATTTGGAGGGGGGATCAAGTGCTGATAAAATGCTTCGCTGAGCGCAGTTGGATACGACCGCAGAGGTCCAACCCTGAACAGTTGAGGCGTAAATGGACACAATATTCGCGCTTGATACAGGTCTGAATTTGGATTGCAAATAAATATTTGACACATAATAGGTTTCTGACACGAATAACTGCAGTCAAAGAACTTTGAATTGGTTAAATGATTTGAATTTGTATTCAAATTTTTGCTCTTGTGAAATACACTATGCTGTTGCGTATTGCCCCCCCCCCAAAAAAAAAGAATTTTTTTTTAGCCCTCCCCCCCCCCTTTATTTTTTGCCAAAAAAATAGATATTTGAAATTTTCTTTTTAATTTCTGAAATCTGAAATGAAAAAAAAAATGCCCGCCACTATTTCTTTTTTACCCCACTCGCCCCCTTTCCAAAATATGGTCATAATCTCAATTCAAATTTCCAATGGAGTTTGCAACCATTATTACCAATTTAAATACATCATAAAAGTCTTAAATAGATAATTTAAAAGCAGTGTAAGCAGTCAGAGATATAACTCTATACGGTTATTGCAGAAAATAACTTGCGTGTGTTATTACAGATACTTTCATGAGTTGTCTACTCTTTATTCCTTAAATTTTCTAAATCTGCAATAACATATGTTTGTTTTTGTAAAATAAATCAAAAATATTTTAATTTATAATGGGCTCTAGGGAACTCTTGAGACTTTGCGCAGAAACTAAATGCATAGCCTGGATAATTAATTTTTTAATTAAATTAATACATTTTTGATTAACCATGGTAAATCAATGAGACGAGGCTTTTAAGGGATAAACTTAGCTGTAATAACAAGGCTTAGTTATTAACGGAATGTAACTTATCATATGAGAGACACTTGCGAATTACTGGGAAGCTGGCGCAGAACCTCATTACATGTTCTGGTCATTATTTCTTACAATAAATCAAATTACATTGTAATTAAGCATGATGTGTGTGTGAGAAAATGCTTTGGAGTGATATAGAGAAGCTGTGATAACACCCTTTAGTTATTACAGGCATATTTTTTCTGTTATAACATAGGTGTACAATGCAAATTTGGCAAACTATGAACTGTTATATCTTTCTATCATGTCTATAGTTAAGTATACATAAAGACAATAGTAGTATCAATATAACTTGTATGCATTTTAACTAAACTTGTGATGTATATTGTCCCTTTGAAACATGTAACATACATATGTTATCACAGTTCTTTGGTTTTTTAGTCCACAGTAACAAATGTATGTTATTTTTCTGTAATAACCCTATAGAGTTATACCCCTGACTGGTAAGGAAGGTAATCCATAATTGTACAACATTGTACAATTTTGTTTTTGGATTACCTCCCTTACACTGCTTTTAAATTGTCCATTAACTAGGAAACCCTTGTTTTTTCCACCTTTTTGCCCCTAATTCCTAAACGGTTTGAGCCATAACCCCCCAAAGCCAATCCTAACCATTCCTTTGTGGTATGGAAACTTGTGGTATAATTTCAGAGAGATCCATACACTTTGACACAAGTTATTGTCTGGAAGTTCCAAAAATGCTTTATTTTTGGCCCCTTTTTGGTCCCTAATTCCTTAACTGTTGGTACCATAACCCCCAAAATTTCATAGAGATCCATTCACTTTAACTAACATTATTGTGCGAAAACCAATGTGTCTTCGGACGACGACGACGCCAACGTCATACCAATATACGACCGCAAAAAAATGTTGCGGTCGTATAAAAAAACAACTTAAACTATCTATTCCTATGTCAGTCAAAATTCATGTCTATTGGTTGTTTTTTCATTGACGAAAAACTCACATTTCTATTAACCATATCAAAATATAGTGCACAATAATACTGATGATGTTTAGAGAAATAAAAAAAATCAGTGTTTAGAAAAAAAATTATGATGCATGCAGAAATTGACATTGTTTCTACTCAATGTCATGTATTTTCTCTTCTAGATAATAAGCATCAAATGGTGTTAAACAGTTTCTAATGCATAGCCTGCACACACCTCTCCACGGAAACTTAAATTTAGACAAAAATCAAGTTTATTAATTTCATGATAATTATTTATGCAATAGTGAATAATACATACATTGTTATATTATATATATGCAGTTGTCATATATTATTTTGGGAACTAGCAAATTTAATAGATAATCAAAGTACTGAACATCGGATGACAGCAAGTTTTTGTGGTTTGTCAAAAGCACTTGTCACAGAAAAAAATCTCTGTACCTAAACCTGAGGTTAATGTACAGAGATCGTTTCTTTCTGAGACAAGTTCGTGCGTGGATGATGAATAAATGACAGGAAATTCAACATCACCGTAATAACTATTATATTGTAGTGATACAAATCAGTATACACTGATTTGTTGTTATATATTATATTATTATATTTTTCATCCATTTGTATATCATTCTATTCTACTATTCTATTAAGAGAGCAGTGCAAGTACATGGTGGACACTCTTCTGTAAAAATTCGATTTTTCTAAAAGATTGAATATGAGTAGGCATTCATATTTTCTCGCAAAACAATCTTCCATGCAGAGTTACTGGTCCTTGCCGGGATTGTCGCAAAATGTTCTTTAGATATTCTTCCGCATGCTTCACCATATCAAAATTTTTTACTTATATATATACATCTAACGACAAAACATTTTCAAATTATTAATTTATGTTCTAAACAAAAATATTGTTATCAGTATTCATTGAATGAAGAAATGTATTTGTAACAAACGATAAGAAATGTTATTTTGCACTCGTTAATATCCGCGTATTTATCATGTTTATAGATCTGTTACAAACCCAAAACGAAAGTTACGTAATGGAAATCTAGGCGATAGCAGTACACGGTCATCGCGATGTAAAAAGCCAGCCTGAACCAAATTTAACCTACAAAAACATCTAGGAGACATAATATATATCTTAATGCCCCAAGGTTATTGTATTTCAAGATTAAAATGCATATAGTGAAATGCTTAATGCACCTACATATACAGCATTACACACCAAGCGAACTTTATACTTTAATACCTTATAAATTAATATGAAATTTAATAAAAAGAACATTATATTGTTTTTTTTATTTTCACTTTTTCAAGCTTTATGACATTCTTGATTTTTTCTCTAGATATGCCTAAAAGCATTTTATTACAATATAATTGTTTCTATAAAAACTTTAAATAATATATAAAAAGGATACCAGGAATTAACCATTTAAATAATGTACGCGTATAATTACACACAAAAAGAATTCATTATAAATTTGTGGTAGTTGTAGAATGTGAGCCAATATCAGGTTGATCTTCCTCAAATCCAGCATTATCTACCCCATCCTCAATGAGCTGTGCTTCGTCATCCACAGTAGAGATCTGTGTGTCGAGTGTGGTCATGCTTGCCTGGGTGTCAAGTGTTGCTGTGCTTTCCATATTTTTGATTCTGAGTGACCCAGTCTCACTTGCAGAGTCTGCCAGACTGCTCATTAAACTAGTACGATCAATGTCTACCGATGCTGCACTGTCCATGCGTTGGAAAACTTCAACAAGATCCGTTGTGGAAGAAACAGGTGGCCAGTGAGGCAACTGAGAAATCTCCTCTTCCAATGCCTTGTATTTAAATTGGCTATTGAAGAAATTCTCTTTGATTTTTTCTTGTAATTTTCTGCTGATTAAGTAGCTGTCACAGAAATATGACTGAAAATTTACAATACTTTATAAATGGGACACAGAAATGCTATAAATAATCTAAGGCAAGAATTATTTTATAATAACAGTTTGGTACTATAAATATGATTCTTTTACATTATATATTTTTTTGATATTACCAAACAGCTATGTTCTTCAATGCACAGATTAGGACCATCCACTTAAGCCAAGATGTTTGCTCAACTAGAGCTAAAGGGTACCTAGAGCTATCAGATGAGTGTTTTTGCTCCATGTTTAAGGCCATGTTGTCACTTTGAGATGAAGAACAACTTTAATTTTTTTCATGTACACATATTTTTTTATCAAGAATTGATAAATAAATTCTTTGTTTATCATTATATCTTTAACTATACAATCATGATCAAACTAGCATATAATTAATTTTATTATATACTTAGTAGTAAATACAGATAAATTGTATGTGTAATATGGTCAACGGCAATCGTGCTGTAATCCATGATGATATCAATATCAGTCACGGTTGCAAAGCCTTTATCACACCTTTAATCTGTATGATGTCACGTCATCGATATCAGTCACTATTGCAAAGGCTTTATCAAACCCCTAATCTGTAGAACGTCATGTCACATAAAAAACATCTACTTGAGGTATATGTAATAAAGTGTATATGATATGGCTGGTTCAATATCACACGCTGTATCAACCCTCAATCAATAACATCCCTCCAGCAGAGCTCTTTGGATTATATTGGTGTCTCAGGTTGATGCAGATGTGATATTGAAAAAGCCATATGATATTCTCTATCTATGGTTGTCAATTTTCACAAAAGTAAGTATACGGGTACTCATGAAATCAACAAACAAATACTTCATCACTGTGGATTCATTTATTTTCTTGGGTACCAATTTTTTGTGAATTAAAAAAAAATCGAATTTTGGGGGATATTTTTTTGTGGCTTTGCCAAAGTCTGCATACAAGCCTATAGAAAATTTCTACTTCAATGAACATTTAAAACTCATGCTTCATCTATACAAAAGAAATCTATGAATATCCCACTATTAATAATTAATACACAGTACTCAATCTGAAAAAAGTCAAAGATGTATCCAAATGAAGTTTGCATAAATAATATTCTATAAATACATTTACTTCAAAACAATCTTCTGTGAAAACAAGCATATTCCATCTCCAAAGAATAAATTTACTTGATTTGATTTGTGCTACAAATTTGATGTAAAGAAAAAAATTACAAATTTTTATCATCAAAACAAATATTCTTCAATTGTGCTTGGTACATTGAACCTAGATTTTTTTTAATCCTTTCAATTGCTGACAAATTTCAAGGGAAAACAGTTATTTATATTCAAGATGTTGGTCAAGAGGCTGGGTGCTTTCAACAAATAATAAATTAATGTATGTCCATTGTATATTTGATAAAATACATTGATTTTTTTATCAGTATCATGGTAGGAAACTGTGCACAAAAGCCAATGATTTCTACAGCCAAAAGCAATTTTCTGTAGGGAAAAAGGCAACGATTATTTCAGATTCATTGTTTGTCGCAGTTGTAGCCCTTTAGTGTCAAAATTTACTTAATTATTCAGATCACCAATTAAAAATCTATTCAGCCATTTTTTTCAATTTACACAGCTTTCTAAATATTTTACCTTAAGTTTAACTTCATAGAAATCAGGTATATCCTGAATTGTACATGTATTGCCTTTCTACATGACAATTTTCAACCAATGTTTAAAGTCTGGTAGTGAAACACAACCTTTCAGAAGGCAACTACTACTAAAAATAACCTCTGGTCTTCTGGAAATCTTAAATAAGTATACTATGGAGCACATTAATCATCAATTTTAAATGTAAACCCATGGACAAGTAAATGTTGGCTCAAAATGGTCAAAATATATTTCTTTTTCATTAAAAGTTTCATTTCTGCAAATTTGTTGGTTAGTTTAAGTAAACAATGACATCAAGAGCACTATTTTTTGTCAGGGAAGGGCTACTTTTACATATGTTCAAAATTGGAGTGGATGAATTGGTGGTCTGAAACCTTATACTTACTTCAACTAAAAACGAAAGAACAAAGTTGATTGCAACAATTCCCAGATAAATTAGTTTATACTCCATAGAAGGTATATCTGCCAACTGAAATATAAATATGCAAATAATATATAAGGGCAAAACAAACATAGTATTTATAACTAGGATCGTCATGCTATCATATTTCAGAGTACAAATATCAATAGCTAGAAGCTGCTGATTTATTTTAGAAATATTTCTATTTGAAGCATCGTAGACTCGAAACATTTTAACCTACATGAAGTAAGCTTTATATAAGATCATATTCTGAACTGGATATTATAACGGCTTAACTGGTGTAACTGAATAAAAGAGGGTATCTTATTCCATTCAAACATATGATTCTGAATGCAACATGCTTGTCTTTAACAGAGTTAAGTAACTTACAACGGCAAATATATTTGTCCCAAAGTATTTTTTACATGCAGGTGTTTAGCTGTTTTTTTTTGTACTAAGCAGTTGAAATGTGAGAAAAGAACCAAGAGCAAAAGCATGGAACTCTACAAGAACTTCATGTTCCTGTAAAATGCAAGTATCTTAAACACTGGAAACTATTCGTATAGGAAAATGGACTCTTATGCATGAATAGGTGTTTAGGCGTTTAGGCATGATGTTTTAGTCATAGTCATGCATTTTTGCAAGTATACAAGTTTTCTCTCTCAGAGATATGCTGCTTGTTTAATAAAATGTAACAAGTGTTTTCAAGCTGGGAACAAAACATGAGACCAAAAGCATTGAAGTATTTCAATAGAATTCTATTCTTTTTGTAACTCCCTCCTCCTAAAAAAAAAAAAAAACAAAAACCAAACATTTATCCAGCTCATCCATCTTTTTTTCAAGAAGACACAAAAAGACATTTTAAGGCCTGGTACAACTACAATTAAATTCCACTTTTCAAGGAATGGTTGGAACCCTATGAAACCAGATCGATGGAAGGGCACCTTTATACTGCAAAATGACTTTAAATTGAAAATAATGGATAAATGCACACTTACCTCCATAAACTCTCTAAACATTTCTAGTGGTTCTATGTGTAGCCATACTGTACAGGCCAAACAAAACACTATATTGACAAGGAAAAAATCTACAATAGAAAAGTTCTATAAAGAATTCCAGCCGTTTTAAGTGTAACTATATAGTATACAGACCAAACAAAACATGATATTGGCAAGGAAAAAACCTACAATAGAAACATTTTATAAAGGTCATGCGCTCTATTAACTTTATGCACTTTTAATTATATCAGTTATTTTTTTTATTGTCAATAATTTTTATTGATCAATTAAACCCTATTTAGAATAAAAATTCAAACACCAATAAACTTCATGATTCCAAATTTTCAAATAGAGTTTACTCAAATCGCTTCTGCAAGGGTCTTGGACCAATACCATAGGGAATTAATGGTTGTTGTGTAAGTAAATATTTGCAATGAATAATGTTCTACAATTCCTTAACATAGATTCTGTTATTCACAATGTTTCATAAAAAGAAAATTACTTTTTTTTCTCAATTTTTCATTTTAAGTTTACATTCACTATAATGGCCAACAATTATTCCCTTAAATAGCTAACTAGCCCATATGCGTCCAAAACACCTATGATCCTAATAATAAATGACTTACAATTGGAGAAAATAGTCTTTCTGTATGGCCTTCCCTTTGAAAAGACAATAGCTAGTATAATGTATTGGTATGATGATATCAGAAATACAGAAGCATTCTCGTAACTTTCATAGGCATCTTCTTCATTGTCAACAAATGGTTTAAACCTGAAAGTTAATAAAAAAATTGTTGCTTTTTGGTTGCTTAATGTACACAAGAAATATAATATTCATGTTAAAGATGAGGACGAATTTTAAATAATAATAAATCATTTATAACACAGGTACGGATCCAGAATTTAGAAAAAGTAGGCCCAACGGCAAGGCAACTTTAGGAGTGGGACTTGTAAAAGGTCTATACATTAACCATTTAAGTAGCTCCTTAAGGGGAGGGGACCTTCCCCCAATTCTATTACATATGTCTTAATCCATTTCCATGCCCATTAGGCTAAAGACACCCATTTATCTGTATTAAATCTCCCTCATATGAGGAATTCCAGGAATATCAAATCATCTTTTTATCTTTTAAAAGAAGTATCACATTACCAACCAAACTGTCTGGTTTTTCATTTGGAATACTGATGTATGTTTTACTGTACACTGCAGAATTCCAAACACCATCTCACTTACCATGGTTGTTTCTGAACATTGAGGTAGACAAAAACCTGAGCTGCAGCCTGTATCCCTGTCTGTAAAATTAGAGTCAGGATTGGTCCAATACTAAAAAGGTTTATCAGTGGAGGTTCTGGATGTAATTTCCCATAGGCTCCAGTGGCTCCAACTGTATATTCAAAATAATTTTTATTAATGAATTTTTAATTTATTGACAAAACTTCCAATATCTTATAATTACATCATGTTTTTTAGTACTAACACGACACAAATGAAACACTTATCAAAATAATTCCAATAGAATTTCAATATCAATATTTCAAAGTCTGGGACATCACATACAGCAATGTAATGACCTCAATCTCATTCAGAAAACCTGTGGAGTACACTTTGAAAACTGACTCTGTGAGCCTTTTTATTCTTAAGAATACTGCATTCAATCAAAATCTGCTAATGCCTGTGTTTCACTGTTTTTTTTTCTTTATATCAATTTAATGTAGAGGCTATAAAGAGCCTGTTTTGCTAACCTTGGTCTATGTGCATATTCAACAAAGGACACTCCAACATTGTAGAAGAGATCAGAATTCATGACAAAAATCTCTGTTTTGTTGATCTTGTATTGCTGATCATTTAGTCTGTTTAGTTTCTCTCTATCTTCTTAAGTTTTTGCTCAAAACACAAAAGAGGGTGACAAAATCCTTATTTAAGGGAATCACTCCTAGGAAGAG